GTGTGTGTGTGTGTGTGTGTTCATGTGTTATTGGGGCTCTATCTCAGAGCACTGGGCAGCCTAACCAAGTGCTTTGCAGCATCAGACCTTGTTTTCTGACACAGAGTCCTGCCCTGGAACCCAGGCTGGACTCCATCTTGATCTTTGAGCCTCATGTGTCTTGAACCTGCCATCCTCTTGCCTCTTTTTGAGTGCTGGGATCAGAGGCCTGCACCACAGTGCCCAAGTGTGCTCTGACTTTGGGTCATCAGGAGTGCTATTCACAGTCAGTCCACCAGCCCTATCAAGTTCTAAAGTAGTGGTTCTCATCCTCCCTAAGGCTTCGACCCTTTATACACTTCCTCATCTTTTGGTGACCCCCGCCCCAACCATAATATTATTTTAGTTCCTACTTAATAAGTATAATTTTGCTAATGATATAAATTTTTATATAAATATCTGTGTTTTCCGAGGGTCTCTGGGGTCATAACCCACAGGTTGAAAATAGATGTTCTAAAGTCATTGGCGCTGAAAAAGACACATTTGCTGTTCTCTTCCTTTTACCACATATGAGAGCAGGATTTTTTCAGTGTACTGAGAATCACCTAGTCAGGTTCTCTACCTATGAAGAAAAAAACCATAATCATTACTGCAAACAGCTGCAGCAGCAGGGATCTTGAACCCTCCCTAAAGATGTCAATGGTTTGAACTTCATACCATCCAAAATCCAAAATGTTTCAGAAGTGGCTATTTCCCTTGAGTAGGTGAAAACGAGAAAGAGTTGTGCTTCCTTCCAGAAGACAGAATGTGACTCTGCTGGTCCTGTTCCCTCAGGCAGAGAATTCACTGCAGGACCACACCTGTGCTCCCATGCTGGGACCCTGAGCCCAGCCTTTGTCCCTACAGCTGTGAGAGGCTGCACTCCAGAGCACTGTGTGACTCAAGCACACACCTCAACAACACAGAGGTTTTTAAATCAATGCCTGGAAACACTTCTCACCTGGAATAAATCTAAGTTAGAATATGAGCCTACAAGAAAAGGATGCATTGTTCTGTGCAGGTCGATCCCTGTCAGACATACCTGAACCATCAGGGCAGGGCTGATTGTTTCTCAACAATTCTCCATGAGTTCTGCTTCACTTCAGGACTTCACTGGCCATACAGCTCTCTGACAGCTGAGGAAACGTGCCGTGAATCAACCTTCTGCACTCCACCCACCTGAGCCTTGAACATTGGAAATGTGGATGGACTCTTTCTCCAGATGTCTAGACACAGACTGTCATTTCATAGAAAAAATAATTCAATAATAAATATGGTACATCTAGCCATTTTGTTGCACATAAACCTTTCCTCTGGGACGGTTACAGGGAAACAGACTGCAAAGGCAGACACAGAAGAGCTCCTGACACTTTGCCTCTATTGAGAGAGAGACACTAGAGAGCACAGCTATGTCTTCCTCAAGGAACTTTTAAATGAAATCATGATACATGTGATCATTTTCATAAAAGAGACATAGAAAAAGAAAGTGACATGCTCCAAGGGACAGATCCACCTGAGCTGCATCTTCTGAGGAGGAACGGTTAACATCCTCCAGCCTCTAATCTCAACATATGAATTCAGAAATTGTTGCTTTTGCCTTATCTAAATAAACCTTTAGTCAGCACTAAAAACTTCAGTGAAAAGTGGTACTTATACAAAACGCTGTCATTATTCTTAACCTCTCAGGTGCTTTGAGTGTCTCCAATGTCTGGCTACCTAATGAAGTGTTGAACTCACCGGGTTTCCATCTCAGCCCTTCTGGGAAAACTAGTCTCTGGTCCACAATTAAATACACCATGTACAAAAGATGTGATTTATGAGAGTTTGTGTCTGCATTTCATTTCAGGAAAGCATTTAAAATAACATTCATAATCCTCAAAATATTTGTTCAAATCACAAATAGTCACAATTGAAAGTGTTAAGGCCCATTCTGGTTTTGATGTTCATGTGAGAGACTCAGATGCTCATAAGTAACAAACTGAAATATGTAGACCTTTGGAAAACAGCACAAACTAACAATGTGATATTTCAAAGAGGTGAATAGTCCAGGCTTGGGTATGCTTCAGATATTGGAATATCTGACCCTGAAAACCATCTTGCTGCCTGAAGTAGACTCACCCTTCTGCAAGGCCTAGGTACATTCAAATGTGCTAATACTTCATGGCACCCTATGGAGAGAATTTAGATTGTGGCCAAGTGCCCACTTAGTGTCTTCCTGTAGTGACAGTGTTTATATAGGAATTGCTGTGAGATTGAGCAGAATGAATTTCCTTGCACACTGAGGTGAAATCCTTGAGCCCATTGCTCAAGGGGAAAGGGATGAAGGGTTGGAGGCTCAGGCAGAGTGGCAACTGGAATTGACATCCAGAGGATGCTTGATATGGGTTCAGTCTGCCTCGTAGGCAGCTGGCTCCTATTCTCCTTGCCAATACACATGATTCCCATCTCTTTTTCTTTGCTATAACAGATACAATTAATTAGTTTGGAGTATTTTTATCTCCGTGTTCTTCTCTATAAACTTGTCCACGGAAGGAATCTTCCAGTTTTCAATGAATGTTGACTGAGAGTTTTGATAGGGACCTTTGTTGAGGATATTAACTTCAACTTGAAGCTTGCTCTCACATCTTTCCTCTGCCGAACCAATTAGTCCACTTTCCTTACATTTAATCTCATTCTAACTCAGACCAAGAAAGACAAACATTCTATGTGCTCACTTATAAGTGGATATTACCTGTTAGGTAAAAGATGATAATCATGCTACAATCCTCAGACCCAGGAAGACTAAGTAGCAAGGAGGGCTCTAAGGAGAATGCTTGGATCTTCCTGGGAGGTAAAATAGAATCAATTTATTGGAGGAACCTGGAGTCTGTGGGATCAGATTAGAGGAGAAGGGATGGCGGGAGAGACAACAGGAACTGGGGGGGAATTGAAAGGACAATGTGGAAACCTAGTGCAGCAGAAAACCCAGGAGTCTATGAGGGTGACCCTTAGTGAAGACTCAGAGTAATGGAGGATACTGAACCTGAACTGACCATCTTTTGTAACCAGGTAAACTTCCAATGGTGGGACTGGGACACACATCCAGCCACAACCTGTCCTGCCTGCAAGCTGCACTGGAGCAACGGAAGCACAGAACTTGTTGGGGCGACAGCCAATTATTGGTTTAGTTTGAGACCCATGCAACAAGATGAAGCCTAGGCCCAAAACTCCCTGGACCTGCAGGTTGGATAGCCCTGAGACCTAACAAAAAACCGATAAAATGATTCCTAATGATATTCTGATACACTCAGAAGATTACCTAGCCCAATTACCATCAGAGAGTTTTCCTACAGCAGCTGAAGATAGCAGAGGCAGAGACCCCACCATCAGATAATAGGTGGAGAGAACCCTAATTAGAAATCTCCATTCAGTACCTCTTACTGGGGCTCAGGGAAACTCACAGAAGAAGAGAGGAATGAATTGTAGGATCCAGGGGTCAAAAACACCAGGAGAACATGTGTAGACAGAAGTTTCTGTCTCGTCCAGCCCCATCGCCTTTCAGTACCAAAGAAACACACAGAGGCTTATATTAATTACAAACTTTTGGCCAACAGCGAGAGAGAGAGAGAGAGAGAGAGA